CGGCACCAAATCCCTGCCCTGGGCGGGAAGGTGTCCCGGGAAAGGCTGGGGCTCCTCTGTTCCCTGTCACCTGCCTGGCCACCCCGCTGACCCTCCCCGGGGCCAAGGGGACTGTGCCGGCAGCGCCAGGCAGCCCGTGCCCAAGCTCTAGGGGARCAGGAGGCGAGCCAAGGCTCGAGCTCAGAGCACAGCACAGCACGGCTGCCCACCACATCTCAAACCCCAGGCACAAATTACACATTTATCGGGGCAGGGAGAAAGAAGGGGGCAGCAGARAGGCAGGAGAGACTCCTGCCCACCTCAGTGCTTCCACATCACACGTGCAGTTATTTGCAGCGCTGCTACCTGCATCTTCTTCAGAGCACCATCATCCTGACATCGAGGCTGCAGGTAAGGGCCTGATTTACAGTGCACTCTTCCCCAGCAAAGGCTGCCCGGCGAAGCAGGTCAGCGACTGCAGCTCCCGATGCTTCCCCCGCTGCCGCCCCGCGCCCGCCGCGGCTCTGAGCAGGAGGTGAGAGCTGCCTTCCCACTTGGCACTACAGAGGGAATTGCAGATAGGCAGAATGTAATTACTCGGCCTGGATTTCGGCCAGGAGTCAGGGCCCGAGACCCCGACCCTTATGTACAGTGTCACAAACCCTCCAGCGACTCCGAGTGCGAGCGCCTCTCGCTGCTGTCATTGATTCCTCCTGGCTAATTACCTAATGGTGACCCTCGCGGCAGAGCCGGAAAGCAAACCCTGCAGCCTGAAACACTGCCCGTCCCAGCGACAGCGTTTTACACAAGTCGCTTGGTGCAGGTATCTGCTGCCATGGGGGGCACGTGGGGCCTCGTGGGGCTCACACTGRTATCGTGGCGCTCCCAAAGCTGCTGGGACGGGCAAAGGCAGCCCCCGAAGGCGGCACCCGCGGAACAGAGGCCCCCGGTATCGAACACGAACCGCGGCCTCCGGAGTTTTGCTGTACGTGGTTGCTGGATGCTTCCATTTATTTTTCTTCGTTTTTCCTATTTTGACTGCAATAAATAATTAATCCATGGCTTTGTAACTTGCTGACAAATACAAATGCGTCGCACTGCGACGCGGTGTAACGTGTCACTCAGCAGAGACAACCTGCGCGACGCGCACAAGTGATGTGCAGCCCACTTGGGAAAGTAGGCTAAGCATGAGGGTCGCCGAACGGAGCCCGGGGAAACGCTTCCTTCAAACTGTCCCTCAGAGGATCTTTCTGCTCGGTGTGGGCAACAGAACTGGGTTAAAGCCTTTAAACCTACGCAAGCCTGGTGGTCTTCCCACACACCAGCCTGGTCCTGCACCCTTCTGTGGCTCCTTGCCTCCAAGGCGCCGCAAGCTTTAGGGGGCAYGGAAGCCCAAACGTGCAATTATAACTGTTTAGAGCACTTCTGTTTTGTGGCTTTGGGAATCCAAACCCTGGGAAAAGACTTTTTTTTTTTTTTCCAGGAGAACACCAAGGAGGGAAGGCAAGGAGGAAGCCAGCAGCAGCGAGACAAACGAGACCAAATCAGACAATAACTAAATCCAGCGGAACAAAGATGTTCCAGGAGGGGCAGAACTAAGGGAACAGAGAAAGAGCTCTCCTTTGGAAAAAGGCGTCCAGGTCACTGTCAGAAACACCAGCAGCTGCAGAGCAAGAACGGAGACAAGGAGCACAGGCTGAATGCCAAGGGCAGACGGAGCACAAGGAGCACAAAGCTGCGCACACAGCAGGGCAAGCTCTGGTCAAACAGGAACGCGAGAGCAACGACAGCAGCAGGAACGACAGGATTATCGGAGGGAACACAGCTTGGAGGAACTCCGTGCACACCAGGCACGCAATGGGATCAGGCAAATGGAACCAGGGACCATCCCATAGGACATTCCTCTGTGGAAGGTGTCGCCTCTGCTTTTTAGTTTGAGCAGTGCATCTCCCCTCCCAGTCTTTCACTGTCTGCTCCTCAAGTTCTCCTGAGGTTAAAGAACCGCCACAAAATCATCCTCCCTATGCCCCTGTTGTTGCCTTTTATCAACCTTGCTCTTCACAGCATCACAGAGCGGTTGAGGTTGGAAGGGACCTCTAGAGATCATCCAGTCCAACCCCCTGCTCCAGCACCCAGAGCACAGGGCACCCGGTCGCATCCAGGTGGGTTTGGGAGATCTCCAGAGCAGGAGCCTCCACAGCCTCCCTGGGCAGCCTGTGCCAGGGCTCGGGCACCCTCACAGCAAAGAAGTTCCTCCTCACATGGAGATGGAACTGCCTGGGTTTCAACTTGTGCCCATTACCCCTTGTCCTGTCATTGGTCATCACTGAGAAGAGTTTGGCCCCTTCCTCCCTACCTTCACCCTTCAGGTATTTGTACATATTCATCAGATCCCTTCTCAGTCTTCTCTTCTCCAGGCTAAACAGGCCCCACTCCCTTAGTCTTTCAAGACTTTTTGATTTGATTGCCTTTTCTGCAAACCTTCCAAAGTCCAGCCATCATCTTTTCCTAACACCCTCCTTCCCCAGTGGCCTTTCAGCATGAAATGCCAACTTTGCATTCTCCCATAGGACTTCCTACCTTCTGCCCCATTCTCAAGAAGTACTGCCAAAGGAAGCTTGCTAACTAAAGAGCATTTGCTTAAACAAAGTAAAAGCAAAATAAAAAAAAACTCAAAAGAAACGTGTTTTGTTCTTCACACTCCAGCTCTCCTTACAGACAAGTTCTGAACCTCTTTTGACCACTACTACCTGCTTCATTTTGTGATAAGCATCACTAGATATTAGGGATACAAATAAGGCTGATCTTCTCTTTCGACTAAATCTGCAATTATGGACATGAAAAGTCTTGCAGTATTTGCTCTTTGTTTTCCCCATGCATATTTGTATCTATTTATTTCCCGTTCTCATTTGTATCTATTTAATCCTCATTAAGACCTGAGACAAGGATAAAACAAAGGTGTACAAAACAAAAATTTGTCCTTGTCACAAAAGTTCTACAGAGGAGTGAAACGCTGCTTGAGGAGGCTGCGAAMCGAAGGCTTGTTCCCTACAGAGCACTCACCACTGTCACTCCAGCTAACGCCAAGCTCCAGCAGACACACCAAAAATGTTTTGCCATGTTTCACTCTTCAAGACCCGTGCTTAGGCTAACTACCCTTCCCGAAGCACCTACATTTCTTCTACCAGAAGAGGAAGGATGGGTTGCAGCAGCCTGCTGGCCAGTGCTGGGCAATGAGCAGCAGGAGCCCTTTGGTCCTGTGCAAAGGAAGCAGTGACCCACCTTGCACTCCGGCGCTGCTGGTCACTGCTGCTCATTCTGACATCCCCTTTCTGGGGGCACGCACACCGACACGCACACGTGCTGCCCATACACACAGCCAGCTCAGCACTGACAGCACTGCCTTGCACAGGAGGCAGCCCTGCAGGGACACTGAAACCAGTGTGTCTCSACCTGCGCATCAGAGGGAAGCGGGAACCCGTTGTCCCTCTCTGCTCCGACAGTTGTTCCCACAGCAAGACTCAGTGCTCTGACCTGCACGGGCTCCGGAGTGAGCTGCACCACGTGCTGCATGCGCTCGCTGTGGTGGTGCCGGGACTCCTCCTCGTAGATCACGTCCCGCTCGTGCTGCGGCAGGTTCAGGAAGCGGCGAATGGTGCAGAGGTTCTCCCAAAGCGTGCGGTTTTCCGGGCTGGGGTTTTCTTTCCAGCGGAGCAGCTCGCACAGCCAGCCCTGCAACGGSAGCATCGGCACGTTAGTCCACGGAGCGCCGAGGAACCACCTCTGCCTGTGAGGTCAGCTGCACCCAAGCAAAGCTCTGCAYGGTAAGTCCTGTCAGTCTGATCGCACACAGAAACCCCTCCTATCCTCAGCTGCCCTTTTGGCTCTTCAACTACACAGGGTTGTTTATATTCCCTGGAGAAACAGAACCCACCAGTGGAACCAGGAAGCATCTTGCCTGCTGTGCTACCCATACTTCGTGTAAGAGCTTCAATCATAAGCACTTTTTTTTTTCTGTACAAAAACAGGGCCGAAATGAAGGTGCATCTTCCTTTTTCACATTTTAGAGCCTCTTTTATTTCTTCATCTGAGCAAAATAAAGGGAGATGCAATTCCTGGCGCTTGCTAGGACCTCCTCCTAAGGGCTGCAGGCTCAGGACCAGAAATYCAACTGCTGCTGAAGATGTTTGGAAGAAAACACCACTGAGTGGACCCCTCTGATCTGCTGCTGCTATACCCTCGTTTTGAACCCCACCAAAACTCGACAGCTTTAAATAGCCAAATGRGCACTTAGCAGGGAAGATGCAATCTTAAATTCCCTAGTATTTAACAGGAAAGAAGCAAACAGGGTCCTGCAGAAGTGACTTCATGGGTTAAAGAAGACAGATACGAGGTGTGGATAATTTTAAACCCCAGCACAGGCTGCAGCAACAGCTGTCTTTATTCTTGCTGCACTGCTTTATAAGTTAGCCTGAAACGCCACTAAAAAGCTACACCTTTATTCGGCCCCTCGGGACGTCTCCATGGGGGATGGAGCTCGGAGCCCCGCAGACGGAAGCGCCGGCGCTTTGAGGAGCGGAAAAGGCGACCAACGGAGCGGTGTCGGGGAGCCGAACGGCGGGAGCTGGTTGTATTGGGAGGGCTGCGGAGCGGGAGGGCGGCGCGGCGCCTCCCTGYTCCCGCCCGGCGCGAGGAGACGCGGAGCGAATGACAAACACCAAGGATAATACCAAGGATGCTGTCAACRCGCCCCGCTGCCTCCTGTCAAAATATTTTACCGCGTCGCTTTCGAAGGCATCGCTCTCGAGCTGCAGCTCAGCGCTCTGACACCGTTTTGACAGGCACCTTACAGCACCTCAGCGATGGCTCGAGCGGTGTTCAAAACGTACAGCGCACGGAGCAGCCTAAAAAGCGCATTTTTCCAAAGRACGACTGCGGTCCGTGAGCAGACACGTGGCTTTGGGGCTCCCCCTGTGCCAGAAACCCCATCCACGGCACCCGAAGCGCCGCTGCCTCCACCTCAGCGCAGCCCCGAAGGGCAAGGGGCAGGGGCAGGCTGGGTCCTCGCGGCCCGCACGTCACTAACCCGCTCGGCCGCGCCGCGCCGCCGCGGGCCCGGCTGCAGCAGCTGCAGGCGCTGAACTGTGAAGCCGCCGGGGATTTATAAACTAATCTGTAACACAACACTGCCTTGTTTGTACAAGGGAGAGGCCACGGCTGCGCAGACCTGGGCTTCTCCCTCGCAATAAACACGGAGGGCTGCGGGGGAGCGGGCGAGGAGGAGAGCGAGATACCTCATCGTTTACTCAGGGAGAATGAAAAATAAATCTGCGCTCTATTTTGGGTGTTTTGGTGGGTACTTGGGCAATCCCTGAGGCCGGTGATAGGGCCTGAGTTTTCACTTGGTTTGACCACATCCCTTGCCCTCAGCTCGCCTCCTTTCTTTCCTTCTCCCCAGAAATACCCCCCCACACACACACACCAAACTTTGGCTCTTTTAGAGAAAACATCTCCCAGCCCCACAGTGTTTGGTGAGGGTTTTCTCCATACAAAGGAAATAACTTTCGAAATGGAAAATAAACCATCTGTGGGAAAAAAACAAACCACCCTCAGGTCCTGCTTCTGCCTTGCCCTGCCCTAGGTCTCCTTTTCCAAGCGYTTCAGGCAGGTGTGTCCGTCGCCTCGGCCCGGGGCCGGGACACGGGCGCCAAGGCCACGGCTGCGGGCAACGCCGCGAGCCCCCTCGGAAAACGCGGAGCTGCCGGCTGCATCCTGAGGGATCTGGGATGGATGTGCCCCCTTCTAATCAGCGCTCGTTAGGGGCACTTAGCGCAGCCTCATTAGTGCCCAGCCGCCGGGGGGAAGGCGGCCGCGGCGCGCGGCGCGCGGCGCGCGGGGCCCTGACCTCGGCGCTCTCGGAGGCGAGCAGGCGGCAGGGCGCCCGCGAGCGCACCCGCGCAAACCCAATTACCTCGCGGCGCGGGCCGAGGCGCCCCGCTCCCCGGGACACCCGAGAACGCCCGCGCTCCCGAGGGACACGCGCTAATGGCACGCCGAGGGGAGCCTGGCTCGGAAGGTGAAGCGCAGCCGCGGTATTTAGGGATATTAATCCAGTTTCCCCACTAAGTATTTGCTTGGCTGATCCGATTAAGGGAGCGAGCCTTCAACAGCACACCCCCTCCACAGCAGGCCCCGAGAAATCTGTGATACTTCACAGCCTCCGACATATTGCACCATGTGTACCCAGCTGCTACAATAATTAGCTTATGAATGTATCAGCTGGTTCTGTGATTTTTATAAATAATAACTAACCCACGGAGCAGAAAGATTTTCATGAGCCTAATATTAGCAAGGAATTGCAAGGTGCGCCTACCTCGGGCTCGGCGCCGCGCGAACGGCGCCGGCCTCGCTCGCGTTTCGTGCGGCTGCGTCTCCCCCGGCGCCTGCTATTTATCCCCTTCCTTCCCTGTTATTTATTCCARAATCCGTTCTCCGATGGGTCCGTTCAGGACCGTATCTCTCCATCCGCGGGGCTGCCTGTGAGGGGGCAGCTCTGGCCAACGCGGGGGCCAACGCGGCGCCGCCGCTCACCCGCGCGTGCCCTACGATCACCGGCCAYGGACAGGGGCAAAACCTGCGGCGCCATTTTCCCTTATTTATTTCAATAAGCTCAGCACGCCATCCAAGAAAGTTTTGCAGTACCAGGGAGATTAAAAAAAAAAAAAAAAAGTGTAAATGTCAAATAAAACAGTRACAGATGACAGTATTCTCTATTGAATAGCACCGTTTCTTCGTGCATGTTCAATGAGAACTCATGAATTATTAATACCCTAATCTCCTTTTTCTGTTAAAAATCTCAACTTGGGGTTTTTTTTTTGGTTGGATTTTTTAAAAAAAATTCTTTTATTTATTTCTTGGGTTCTGTGTATGTTACACAGATCTTTCCAGGAGAATTATTTTGTTTAGGAAATGCTAGAATAAAGGAACTCTAGGAGCTGGAGCGATTCACAGCAGGTTTTCAGGCACGCCAGCCTGGCGCGGCAGGAGATGCTGCCCCATCACCTCGTCCCTCCCTCACGAGCAGCATCTCAGCGGGCTTCACCACGAGCCAACCCAACTCCAGGGACATGCTGGAAAGCCCTGTGGAGCGGGACATCRTTCCGCGGATCCGGATCCGCGGTGCCGCGGATGCGACACCGTTTGGGGCACTCGGTGTCACCTCGCGCGGCAGCATCGGGCCTGCTGGCGCCTCCTGCTCTTCGGTGGGAATGTCTTCCATTAAAAACAAGAGGAGGAAAAACAGCACAATTAAAGGATGCTTTGGGCTCTCCAGGCAGGCACACCCAGTGCTTGTGGTTACAAGGAATTCTGCTCTGAACTTCCTTCGTTTCACCCCAAAACTGGTACAGAGTTCGAGGAGGCAGCCCAGTTCAGCTCATTAAGGACAACTGCAGGGAAGTGCTGCTCTCTATTTTTGTTGTTCTCATGAGACAAGATAAACATTTTCTAAGCATTTTATTCGATAAAACAAATAATATCATATTAATGTCCTATTTTTAACCTCTCTCTCTGCCTCCTAATCAAATACATTTCCACGCAGCTAACAAACAACAAGAATCTGCAGCCATTCCCAACGTGCTTTTCCGCTGTCACAGATGCCGCCAAAGGGCCACGGGATGAGGGACAAGGCTCTCGGAGCCCCTTGAGCCCTTCACTTCGGCAAGGCCAACCCCAGAGCAGGGGGGCAGCCCAAGGGATACCTTAGATCAGGCTAAGGTCCCGTTTTCCAGGTTAAGCGCAATATCCCGACCCCCGGAACGGCTGCCTGCAGATGGAGCTCTGCTTGTAGCCAACTAAGGACTAAGTGTTTTGGATTAAGTGATGAGCGAGTGTGTGGGCAGGGCTTGGGCTAGGCCTACAGGCTGGCGCTCGTGCTCTGAGCGGTGTCTCTGCCGAGAGAGCCACGGCAGAAAGAGGCAGCCAGATGCCCACGGCAACACGGTCACACCAACCTCGCTGCGAGACACTTCCAGCGCGGCTAAAACCAGGATCAAGCCGACCCTGCGCTTCCCTGCGTTGCTGCTGAAATTAGTAATAATAATAATAATATTAGTTAGCTGTCTGTGCTGACATTTCCTAGGGTCCCCAGCGAAAGTATGAGTAGGCAAACGGAGAGTTTTTAGCAGGAGTGATTCAGGAATAAATCTCAAAAATAAACGTAAAAGGCCACTTCCTCACCCACATCATCGGCGCAGAAAATGTCAACATATGTGACAAAAGGGAAATAAAAAGGAGAGAAAAGGCGGGGTGCGGAGGGAGGCGGGCCCGGCGAGGCCGGGCAAGCGGGGAGCGCGGCCGCCCCGGCGGGACCCCCGCGTCCTCGCCACCAACTTTCCCCGCCGCCCGGGGCTCGCTGCGGCGCAAAATGAGCCCGCTAATATTCAGCTCTTGTTCCTTAGTCGCCAAAGCCTCTTCCCATGAATCCAATAAGTGTCTATTAAAATAAATAAACCCCCTAATGATTCGAGATAACCTAATCACGCGAGCTGAAATGGATAAAAGACTAACTGTAATGGAGAGCTCTGTCAGGGCTCCGGTGAATCCTTGATGAGGGCCGGGGGCGGGGGCCGCGCCGCGCCGCTCGCTGCGGTTCAAGGTTAATCATTCCAGAGCCTGCAATCCTTCCAAATTCCCGCTCGGTATTTTTCCACCTCTGAAAACTTAAGGCAAAAACACACTTTAGGGCGCTTCCATGAGGGCCGGTTTCACACCGGCTGTATGAAATAAGGAGCCATCCACGGAATGAGCGCTCGCCCCCAGAGCAATGGTGGTGGGCACTGGGGTCATTCCCAGCGCGCCGGCCCCTCTGGCTGCACGGAGCCGCCGGGACGGCCTGCGGTGCCAAAGGATCCCGGCAACGCGGCCGCCTTCGGCACGGGAAGGACAAGCCGCAGGAAGGTGAGGAATTGGCACAGGGCTCCAGGGATTTCCACCCAGAGCCCAGGGTTTCTCTAACCTCATCACCTGAAGCGTTTTGTGCTCCCCACTGGACAGGTTTATTTTATATTTGCTTATTTTTAAGCAGGGCAAAGATATGAACCAGAAACAGCGCTTTGCAGCTTAATGTTTTCTCCAATGTTGCTCGGGGGGCCTCTCTCGCTTTACTGCGGTGTAATTGGAACAAACTCCAGGCCCTGCAGGAAGAGTCTCGGTTTAAAGGGCTCCTTTTTTTTGGTTTCCACCGAACTGGTTGTGTGGGAGGTCGAAGCCACCCGTCTGCCTCGGCCTGGCACCGATGCCCAGCGGCACGTGCCCAGCTTCACCACGCTGCCCTGTCSTGGAAGGAAGAGACCTGCCCCAAGAATAAGTCCATGTCTGAAACTAATGACTTCAGACTTACACAAAGCTTGATGCTCTTCTAGGAGTCTCACCGTGGTACCCTCATGAGGCCCTGTGTCCTTCATCCTTGGCAGCTCTGTGAGCTACACCCCGGGTTCCAMAGAGCTCCTTTTTAGCTCCTTTTAGCTGCTGAGCTGAGAACATCCCTTGCCTTAAGAATAAAGTTGGCTACTTGGTAAAGCAGTGGTCCAATCATTCCACCGGGAGATGATGCCACTTGCCATAACTGCTCTCAGCGGGTGCTACTCTTCCTGCACGGAAGAGGAGGAGGCAACGAGGCCTCCACTGGCTCTGGATGCTCTCTCGGGTACGTGACACGCAGCCCTGTGCACAGAATGTCAAAACAGCCCTGTCGGAGATTCACTGGCTGCTGCAACTGTGAAGATCTCGCAGCCCCGTGCGTTGCTGTTGACAGAACAGCGGCGCCCAACACAACACATGCCTTGTTAGCAAACTGGAAGCCTCRCACTCGGCTGGGGTGAGGGAATAACAGAGGAAGGCTGCGCAAGGCAAGCCAGGGCCCTGGAGAAGAGCAAGCGACCGGGCCTTGGCGCAGAGTCCGAGCAAACCCTCGCGCTGGCTCCTTTCCCCTCTCTCAAACTCCAGCACGGGCTGAGTTTTGGAGAGCGCTCCCCACCTCCTACCTTTCCCCACGGGAATGCCCGGGGCTGGCCACGCTGGTCTGCACCAAGCCCCGTGAACACCTCGTGAGGAGGTTTAAGCAAGCTAGACCTTGGGTGCCAGGCTGGACACGCCGCCCGCCGTGGGAGAAGAGGTCCCTGCCCTGGACACGACTCGGGCGCAGGGGCTGCAGTGACTCCGGCCTCGCCATCCCTGCCTCCCTGCTCCGCTTCCTACAACCTGCCCGGGTCACGGCCGGGAGCCAGGGCTGCCCCACACAGGAACRCCGGCCTCCGAAACGCGGCCTTAGTCACTGCTGCGGGAGAACCAAAACCTTCACGCGCTTTAACTGCAACCATTTGCGGGTCCTGCTCTTAAACCTTTCATTCCAGCTTCCAAAATCTGCCCCGTTCYGTCTCTTCTTTCGCGTGCAACAGAGCAGGGAGCCCCCCGTGACCGCGGGGAGGCTCAGTCCCGCTCAGCCCGTCCCGCTCCAGGTCAAGGAGCCGCTGGGTTTAAGGGCAGGAAGCTTGCAGCAGTCTCAGGACAAGCCGCAGCGAGRCTGCCATGGGGTCTGTGCTAAACGCTCCTTATTCAAAGCTGTCCAGTCCGGATCCCGGGTGGAACTTTGATATCTGCGTGGAGCAAAGAATAAGGGGCACGTTTGCAAAATCAATTGTGCAGTTTTTATATTTACTGCACGTTTACCACATATGTCATTTATTACACAGTGGAAAACCGTTAAATGCACAGTAGTTGTGCCAAGTGGCATTATGCTTTTAACAGCTTTATTCGTTTAACAGCTCCAGTTCTCATTACATTTTGCCATGTGGTACATGAGATTTTTATGCATTTAACAGTTTAAGAGGGTTCCATGGTATTTTCCTTTTATGTATTTCATAGCGCGCCGGGGATTTTGTTGGGGGGCACAGGGACTGGAGCCCCTGTGCTCTGACAAGAGAAAGCAACAGGCCAAGAAAATCTCTGAGCAAACGGGGAAGGAGAAGGAAATGGGACCTCCATGTGCACAAACACCTGGAACAAGGACCCGCTCTCCTATGTGCCCTGACGGCCTCTGTGCCCTTCTATTCCCTGCTTTAAATCTATTTCAGCGACTGCAACCCTGTGTTCCTGCACGTCCCTCCTCCCGCCCCTCCGCGCGACGCTCAGCCACGCCGGGCTCCTTTCACAGGAGGGAACAATCCTTCCCAACCCTCTCCGAGCCCCTGGCGGCCCTTCCGACAAAAAACTCCCTCTGGCCTTTCCCCCAAACCCCTTCTGCTAAGTTACACACTTATGTTTTTTTAAAGAGCTGGATGAAATTTTTAAATTAATGGGTTCTCAGCAAGACGTTCACCCTGGCTTAGGTTTGCCCACATATATTTTTTACACCAAAGGTGAAAACTAATCCAAGAGAGCTCACTGCAATGCTCCATGCTTGTATTTTTTTTTACCTTTTTTTTTTAACTGATTGAGCCTGATGTGAATTATTTACACGGCCTTACTGTATGCAGCAGCAATGTGCAAGAAAGAGAAAGAGAGAAAGAGAGAAAGAGAGAAAGAGAGAAAGAGAGAAAGAGAGAAAGAGAGAAAGAGAGAAAGAGAGAAAGAGAGAAAGAGA